GGCTCGGTGCCCCGCTGTGCATTTTGTCTTTCAGCTTCTGGTGATCAAACTTGCTGTACGCCCAGCCCTTCTTTTCTTGCTCTCGCTGTTGACCGCGAGTGGTGGCTATGTTAAACCATATGTACCTATGTAGGCTCAGTGTTTCTTCCTCCATTACAGCCCAATCTGTAATATTTCCTATTGCAGCTTGCGTTGCCAGTGTCAGGTCGAGGTGCGACTCCGACGCACCCCTAACAAAAGTGGGCTGGCCACCCTCGTTCCGGACGGCGAGACCTAGAGCTGCGATTAGGTCCGCCAAGGCTCGTCCTCTACGGTCCTCCCTGGGGCTGCCCCACTCCGGGGACTTGGAGTTGAAGTCGCCAGACACCACCACAGCTCCGGTGGCTGTCCTCACGCTGGCTTCGAGCCCTACCAAGAAGGCCTCGGACTCCAAAAATGTTACATTTGGTGAAATATAACAGCTGTAGAGTCTATAGCCTTTTATCTCCAGCCATCTGAAGCCAGGCGATGGCTGGCCGATTGCATCGACCGAGATGCTGCTTAGAACGGCGATGGCTGCTCTGCCGTTCACGTCTGGGAACCATCCATTGTCCTCCCCGCGGTCGCGGCGTTGCTCGCAGATTATTAGCACATCTGCTTCTTTTGCGTTGGCGGTCGCAAGCGCGAGTTCTTGCGACGCCCTGCATACACCGACGTTTATTTGCAAAACACAAATCATTTGGGTGTGTATTGGTCCTCCGTCTGTCCAACCGAGCGATATGATCCCGCACCAGGTGTGGATTTGGACGCTTGCACCACCCTGGCAAAGGCGCTTACCATGGGGTCAGTGGCACTGCAACCGAGCCTCTACCTAACATTGTGAATAATAGGAAAACGTTGTTATTTAAATGGAGATCTAAGTACCTATAGTTTGGTGGAATTAAAAGTAACAGTGGTTAAATTAAGATTCGTGGTGTTAAAGTGATGTCATTGTATCTTTATCCAATAATGTATTGGTGTTGTTCTAACAATAATTAAACACACGAATATTTGTATATGATTTTAACACCAATTCGTAAATACTACTGGTGTTGTTTTAAATAAATGCAGTATGTACAACTTATTATCTTCAATTTGACTGAAAATTATTTTTTAACTACATATAAATTAATAAACCAATATCATTTTTTTACTATTTTAACAATATGTATTGTTGACCTAAAATGTTAATTAAGTTACACATTAGTGTTACTTTAACGATCCTAAACACTTAACTTAAAATTTAGTTGTTCAAAAATTTATGTAAAGTTAAATTAACAACTGATTTCTATGTGTGGCATATATACTCTAGCGATCGCACCTGACTGCCGTGAGACCTTGCGAGTTGCGACACCCTCAACGTTGCTGTAGATCCGTCACTGCTGCTCAAATCAGGTTGCCACCCACACATCTATATTAAGTCCAAAATATTGGGTACAATGTTATAAGTTATTTACTTATACGCATAATACATGATATATTATGTTTTTAATATTTATAGGAAAATGGACAAGATTTTTGCCCAAATAAACTTGTGGAGTAACATTAATCCCACCAAAAACATATATGTAAAATGAGAGCCAAGTTCAATACTATAATATATGCCTTGGTTGTTGACTTCAACGACAAAAGAAGTGAGATCTAAATGGGTGCAAAGTTAGGATAATATATTGAAGCCTAAGGTGTGACTTGGCTACTTTTCATATACGAATTATTATTATAAGTACCTACTAAAACAGTAATGGAAGAGTGAAGATGATTTTCCGAAGAATAAAATAAGAACTCAAAGCTTTAGAACTTGCAAATGCTATAATATATAATTCGTAGCCAAGTCAGACCTTAGGCTTCAATATATTATCCTAACTTGGCACCCATTTAGATCTCACTTCTTTTGTCGTTGAAGTCAACAACCAAGGCATATATTATAGTATTGAACTTGGCTCTCATTTTACATATATGTTTTTGGTGGGATATCATTACTTTTTGTATGTAAATTATTATAACCTAACCTAACCTAGCCATGACGTATTCTATAAATAAAGTTTATTACTATATAATATAATTCAGTTACTAATATTAATAATAATATTTATTATAAAATATTTTCCGTTGTATATACAGAGTATAAAATATATGTAAAATTAATATACAATTATTTTAACTCTTTTTGAGTACCTATATTTTTAATTATCATAATTTTATTGACTGTAGTTTCTACTGTTGGGTGGATAATTCATAATTTGTAAGAATAATAATTATTTAATTATTTTAATTGTAATATTTAAAAAAAAATAATATTAATTACATACATAGATAGAAAAAAAAGTATGTTGCTGCGCGCGGGTCGACAATTCGACACATATTCGGCTAGTCGTATTTTTGGAGCGGCGATACGGGAAAGGTTATTTAAGTCAACATTACATTAAATTAGAGGCAATTCATTAATAAATTGAAAAATTAAACATAATAGATAAAATAATTGCAAAATTATAATAAAATCAATTGATTAAGAAATTAAAAATTAAAAATTTTCAAGTTTCTGATTTTTTCCTTTGTATTTACCTAACTACCTATCTGTATGCCAAATTTGAACTTTCTAGGTCATCTGGAACTGGGTGAGAATTTTGATCTATAGGTAAGTCAGTGATAAAAATGACGATTTTCGGACGTTAATATCTAAATAACGGTTTGAAGTGTGTTTATGAAATTTAGAGCACATATGTATCTCGTTAGTCTCAATATATGAGCCAAATTTGACATGTTTATGTGGAATAGTTTTTGAGTTATGAGGGGGTCAAAAGTGGCTCCAAATGGTTCGTGTAATATTACACACGGTGCTGCTCTCCAGTTCTGTTAGCTAGAACTTGGCTTGACACGCTACCGCGTGTCTAGATAAAGTAAATTTACTTCATTAAGAAAAAATTACAATGGAGGAAAAGGATTTTTCATTGTTTGAGGGAAATGGTCATCTCGTAGTACAGTACAGATAATATTATTAATTTTTTTTAGGAAATCATGATATAACTATATATTTTAAATTAGATAAAAAGCCAATAGGAAAACGCTTCAAACGTTACATTCTATCTTCTTACGACTATTATAGTAACGTATAATACCTCTTGGTATTTCACAAACTATAATGTTCCCAAATATCTGAGAATTCTTACCCTTAATCAATAAGCAAAATTATATTACTTTAAACACCAAACTAATTTAAACTCTCACAGTAAACCATTTATCAATATACTATCAGTGAACAACCAGTGAAAATTTCATGTATCTACGGTCATTTTTTTTAAAGTTACAAAAAAACCAAATTCAATTTTGTGAAAAATCGATTTTGCGTAAAAATTACTGTTTTTCCTTAATTTTTCTTTGGTTTTTCTTGGCACTTTTGAAAATTAATGGGAATTTTAATTTTTGACCCCCCCAATGCACCAACGATATTCACTTTCCAATCGAACAAGATACTGAAGTTAAAAATCGAAGCATTATTTCAACTACTTATTGTGTACACAGACACAAAAAAAAAATTTAAAAAAAAAAAAAAAAAACACACATCATTGTAAAATCAATACATTCATCGTTCCACTTAGAATCTAAAACAATAAATAAATAAAATAATAGGTAATACCTAAAAAGTACCTGACCGGGTGGCAATGCCGAGCACTGTCCATAAACGTTATCTCCTGTTAAGAACCATGTATCAAATTTATTCATTGTACAAATTGTATTGTATGGATTGTAAAGACATTTTTAATAAATTAAATTTAAAAAAAATAGATAAATATAATATTATATCAATACTGCCATTTAATAAAATCCCTTTCTTCGTTTGTATATAGGTAAGACTTACATTTCCAGATTACAGAAGTACCTATATCATCACTAATATTCTGAACCTTTTGTGAAAATAATAAAGAGCTTATACCGAGTACTTCCGTTAGTAATCACAATAAATATAAATATCTAATAATTACAAAGTTACGCTGATATATTTACAGCGTTTTTAGTCTACGAGATTGATTTGGCATGCTCGTATATTATACTAATTGAAAATATTTTTTATTTATTAATCGCACTTTACTAGGGGTAAATTTGGGAATAGGTAACTAACTAGAAACCTTTTACACCATGACCTAGAATCAAAAATTCAACTAAAATTATAAAAAAATACTTCAATGTTCATCAGTTTGAAATATAATATGAAAATGTAACAGTCACAAACGAATGATAAAATAATAAAAAAGTTAAACGTTTATCTACTTCTGATAAATATTATTTGAAATGAGTTATTTATTAGAGACCTTATGCTTTACACATAATTATTATGAACATCTTTTATTATTTCTGTAAAAAAAAAGGATAATGCCTATTATTAATGAACTAAATTTATATTTATGACGATTGTGGATCAAATACAATTTCAAGTGATGGAATTGTATAAGTATAGGTTAGTATTGGTATTCATATAGTAATACTATCTTAAACATCTATAATATCTTGTTCGATGGGAAAGAGAATCTAGTTAGTGAATTGGGGTGGTAAAACTTTAAAATTTCAAATAGTTTTCAAAACGCAGGGAAAAGCAACATCAAAATTAAGGAAAAACAGAAATTTTTATGCAACTTCGGTTTTTTCAAAATCTATTTTGGTTTTTGGTGTAATTCTAAAAAAAATTACCTTAGCATTTAGATACATGAAATGTAAACTGACAATTTATATAATATTATATATTACCTATAGAATTTTCCATACAAAATAATATTTTTAAAATATTTTGTCTCATTTTCAGCTATTTACAGGCGTATGGAATTTACGTTTATAGCTATTTTTTAGGAGCTTATGATATTACTGTAATAACAATTTTTAAGTAGGTAAAAAATACAACCATTTAATAAAATCAATTTTTTTATTTTTTTTTTTTTATTTTAAACATATTGTTCTAAAAAATTTACTACACCTTTCATAATTTAACAAATTCAGTCCAATTCCCATGGACGTTTTACTTCAAGAACAAACATATGACATGCAACAAGATCGCCATTTTTTTCGGTATAATTAATATTATATTTGTAAGTTCCATAAAAAATTTGTCTTGGCAAATTTGTATTTGATGGATAGTTCGATAAATCATAACCTTTGGAGATATATGTTCCCTAAAAATATTTATTATGTTCATAATATATTAAATTAATAAAATTAAAAAAAAAAAACTACTTACCGCTGGTATTATATGTTGTTTTGTGTCATTGAGTCCAAAGCTATTTAAAAAAATACGAAATTCGTCTCCAAGAAGACTTTTAATAGCTTTGTAAGCATTGGGTGAACTATAAACGTACGCATTATTTTGCCAGGTGCCAATTTTATCTTTTACTGACATGGCACCACGAAACTATAACAAAATATGTATTAATCTATATATTGTATTTCAACCAGTTAATAAAAAAAACTAGGTAGTGAATAAATTGTAATAACTAATAACCATAAAAAATTTTGTGTATCTTTAAGATGCTTCACAAATCTTAAGTCATTCAAAAGTTTTATAAGTATTGTATTTTATATAAAATAGTATATCTTTACATATTATAAATGATAAATATTTGTATGATCACTTATGAAAATATTATATTTTATTATTTATAAATCTGAAATGCCAATTTGATAACTATAAGTTTTGTTTATCAAATGTAAATTATTTTACTAATATACCCATAAAGTATCATCAAATGACTTATTAATTGACGACATATTTCCTCTTAGTTCGACTTTAGTGCTACTTGTCTTGAAGAATTGAAAATTTTGCTGTATAGCGCATTCCGGACAACATTGTTGGACAGAGTTGAAATATAATCGATATTCCCCCTGAAATCAGTTAAATCAGTAGTAAATTATATGTTATACGGACTATTTGCTTAAAACAGATACTTAAATCTAATAGACACATAGAAGATCTAATTATAAAGTTATTCCGAAATATTTGTTTTTTTCAGAAGTGTAGATTGACTTGGTATAATACTATAGTTGAAAATACGTTTTATTTATTAATCAAGTTTTACTTACTAATGGCAAATTCGGCCGAAACTTGAAATCTTGTAATCCAGGATTGACAAGAATCATAAACTCTGCTAAAAGTATAAAAAAGTACTTCATAGTTCTTTAGTTTGAATTATGATCCGAAAATTTAATAAATGTTCAAAAACGAATGACGGTATTATAATAGAATTAACAGTATATATGTGATTCTTATATAAACATTATATTCAACAGCTAGGTCACAGTTTATTTTAATAGAGCTTGCGCTTTATAATATTTTATTTTGAAATGTATAAAATCAATTGTGTCTAAAAAAAAAAAATTATAACTGATATTATATATTATTACATGGCTGCAATCAGTCACGCAACGTGATTATTACCACTGATTAGAAATAATATAGATTGCTCACTGGACGGATGTTTTTTTTTTTTTTATTTATGATATTTTAATTTATAAACTATTATATCTCAACAATTACAAAAAGAAAGAAAAAATGTATATCATATATAAAAGTGATAAGGAGAAGAATATTATGGAGTGGACGAAATGGGAAGAGTAATTTTGTTAATTAGGGAAGTTAGAGCAAATAGAAGAGAGTTTAAAATACATTTAAAATATTCTATACATTTGTTGATGACGTGGAGAGGTTGATTGACTGATGATCAGTTGGCTGTGGCCTTGGCATAAGATGTCAGTTTTTGATTTGAGTTGTAACTGAGGACGTTGAAGATTTGTGGTGCAACAGGTTCAGCAGTTAGTGGGATGGGGTGATTTTTAGGTTCATCAACTTTGAGAGTGACTTTGTGAATAGCACGCTTTAGCAAATCTTTAAAAATTTGAGAACCTTTGTATTTGGCAGTGTGGTTATCGTCACAATTGGTGCATTTAACGGGTTCTACCCGTGTTTTGGTACAATCTTCGGTGAGGTGGCTTAACCCACATTTCACGCAACGTGGAGGTTGGAAACAATAATTGAATGTATGTCCATACATTTGACAAGAGTGACATTTTGAAGGACCAATTGGCCTTATTGGATGATTGAATTTCACAATTTAGTTAAACAATTTGATTATTTTGAAAATTTAGTTGTTATTGCTGTTTCAGGCTATGTAAATATTAAATAACGGAAGTGGCGACTTGTTTGTACGGTTGAGTATATTTGAAATGCTGATAACATTGTGTCCAAGGTCACTTAGGCTATTAATGATATCCTCGGTGGGGGTAGAGTGGTGGAGTTGACGTAGCACAACGTGTAACGGTTGGATAGCACGGGGAAAATAACAGTGAAAATCATTGTCGACATCCATCAGATAAAACTTTACTTGACTACAAACTGAGCTCGTGTAATTATCCATAAGATTAAATTGGATTATTTAGCTTTGCAGGTGAAGCTTTCTGGGCCCTCCCAAACGAATTAAATCCTTAATGAGAGTAGTAAAGTCACTTACATTTTTTTAGGACGATGTTAGAAAGTTTGAGGTTATTCTGATATGTCAACGTTTCTCTATAATCTATTCCAAGAGAGTTGACCCACTTGCGCACATTCTTACTGAGCCGCCGGAACATTCAGACCCCCAGACTAGGAGACCGGCGGTCTGTGATTGGTCGGCAGTGTTCAGCGATCAGCAGTGATCGTCAAAGTAGGCAGCTGCTATTGGCGACGATCACCACTAGCGCTCCAAAGACGGACCGGCTGTGCGGCAGCGACCTGTTTTCGTCGAGCGAGTAGGTCAACTCTCGTGGAATAGAGTATAGATGATGTGATGGGAAGGTCGGAAATGTCTTGTTCATCGTCTTCCATTCTTAAGACTTCAAAACGGTTTGGGGAAACAAAAAATTTGCACTTTTTGTCTTCGTTGACTAGAGAGTTTGGTAATGACGATGAGAGAGATCTCTTTGTTGACTTGGTTTTCATTTTCACTTTGCGGACGGATTGGTCATGGCAAAAATTAAACTGATAAGATACGTAACGCATTACGGAACGGAGCACATGTTATCGCTTTGGCTGCCGAAGCGGCGAAGCCCAACTGTGGTCGACGGATGTTCGTAAATGTTTCCTGCCACCGAAAAACCGTTTAGTGAGCATTCTATAGTATATTTTATTATCAATGATATTACGCACCGTAAATAATAACATATTATTTTTAAATAATTTTAATTACGTAGCTAATATTTATGACACAATGTCACATGAAAATTTGAATTTGAATATATGAATGATTAATTGACAAAACATTGGTATGCAATGAGAATATACTTAGGGAATGATCTTGTGCCTTGTACAAAATATTGTACAATAATATACTTATAATTGTATGTCCTTTCTAGTTACTACTATAGAATGAATTTTTAAGCGATACAAATAGAATATTTAATTGCTGATGTATCTATATAATATTATACATATTTTTGGAATTTAATTTAAAAATAAAATATTTTAACTGATTTTTAACAGATAGTGTAATACAAACTATTAACCTTTAAATATTTACCTATATAACCTCTCAATTGAAGCACCAGTGCAATAACCAGGCACTTCCAAATTTTTCAAAAAATGGTTTTCTAACAGAAATGTTAAAAAAAAATTCTCTTTCGATAGGTGCAATAACCAATACACCCGATCAATAAAATGGAAAATACAATACAAAATCTATATTTATTATGGAAATCAAGTATTAATAATCACTTATGGTGGTCAGCTAGTAAGTGCGAAAAAAAATGCTGATTTATTAGAAGATAAATTTTATTCTATTTTATATAATATTGCTAATATTCATGAATGGACAGACAAAAACAGCAAAACAAAACAATGCAAACATGAAAAACTGATGGACGAACAAGTAAAACATAAGCATTGGATACATATTATGGAAACTAGTTCCTATGATGCTTTAAAAAAAATTCTAACTGCGAAGGTCTTCATTAAAGATTTGAGACAAGCGAAACATTTTGTGCACACCGGAAAATTGGAATCCTATCAAAACGTGAGGCTAAACGTATCCATTTACAGTTCAATGGTATATTCGTACGATCTATATTAGCAATACTCGACCATTTCAATAATACTGAAAAAACATTAATAGGAGAAAACGTTGTATTTTCTAAGCCACTAGGACGATTTACAATTAAAAATTCTTATAATTCATAATAACTGGAAACGTGATATAATGTCATCAATAATTATCGAAGAAGCTGAAAAAGATATTTCACCACAACCGTTTAATGTACAAAAAATATGTAATACTGAAATCCCAAAAAATATTTATTGAACACCTTGTCCTCCTTATGAAGAATTAAAATCAAAAAAATATTCAAGATTTACCTAAATATATATTATATTATATAACTAATGATAATTATAATAATTCAATTACGTATAATATATGTATTTTTGTTTGAATTAATATATTTTATTTTAAGTTTTTTTTACACATTTATTTTAGTTCTTATATTATAATATTTTATACTTGACAAGATTTGTAGTCTAGGTATTGTTCGTTTTTACACTTTTTATTTAATACAATTTTTTTATTTTTTTTTTAACTTTGTTATATGTATTAAGCGTATGGTACTACTTAATATACATACTGACAATAGAGGAATTATTGACTTAAATAAAATATTTTGTTAGTTTAGTTTGCTAGAATAACCAACAGTTATGCTCAAAAACAAAATTGGACGTAACTGGTCATTATACAATAATTGAAAATATAATTATCATAGTTTTTAAGTTTTTAAAAATATTATCAAGAATATAAAATGTAAAACAAAGAAAATGAGCTCAACTGATGTACTTACCTAATTCTTACAAAATTAATAACACCACATTTTTAACTGTTGGTTGATTTCCCAATTGTATAGATAGTTTTTTATGTTTGCTAAACAGTATTGAAAAGTAAATGTTCCTGGTTATTGCACAGGTGCCATTATTTAAGAAAACAATTTAAGTCTGTATATTATAATGGTCGTTATAAGTATGTGCATGAATTAAGTCAACAAAAAATGAATTTTATCAGGTAAATTAAAAATAATATTATTTTTGTTTATTTTTGACGAATTGTAATTGAACTTTACAGATATTAAAAGTGTGTATATAATTAGCAAAAAATAATTTTGTGAAATATTTATAATCTTGTCATAACTATCAGTATATTATAATGTATTACATTTATAAAAAAAAACTTCAATGAATTATTTGCACAAAATATGGTTATGGAATAATAATTGTATTAATTAATAACCCACTAGGTACGCATTATATGATTCACATATTGAAATAAATACCAACCGAGCAGGAAATCGTACGAAGGCCGGTCATCTATATAGGGTATGTGCGTGGTATGAGAGCGTAAAAACGAAAAAAAAAAAATTCATATCGACTAGAATTATAGTACACGTGTGTATGCGATTCATGTAAAATATTATAAATTTGCCATAAATATCTTAATAATACAACGCGGAGTGGCCTATATAATATTATAATAATTACAATATTCAGGGTATTATAATATCATTATCATGTACATTTATGTATACTTACGAAAAAAAAATACAGATACTGTTTATTATCGTAGATCGCGGTAATGTATTATTATATTATGATTGACAAAATTATTTTAGTCATAAATATATCTTTTAAAATAATATTATACTTTAGTTAGGTAGGTATATAATAATATAATATGCATATTATAAATAATATTATAATCAAATATAAAAATATATAATTTAAATTTAAACGGTGTGAGGGGGGGAGCAGTGGTTATCGATTGATTAATTGTCCTATAATTTAGTTTAACGAAAAGTGTTTGTAATTAATATTCATCGTTTAAACAGCACATGTGTATATATAATAATACAAGCTGAACCCGTGCACTTCGTTGCCCCTTAAAATATGTACCAACTCTATATGACTCAAACTTTGTTCAATTCGTTATTTAATATTCGTTGTATGGTGTTTAAAATTTACCTTAACTTTTCCGTTGCCAGGAATAAAAAGTCCGATTCGTAGCAGTATATTATCAGGTAGGCAATCTACCTTCGGTAGATCGTGGACCCCTGGTTTGTATGTAAGTGTATGATTTAACTCTAAAGTATCAAAGTTATATCAAGTT